CCATTGGGATAACGCCGAGCTCGTAAAGACCTAACTGAAAATTATTCAGCGTTCGAAAAAGAACCTCAAACCGCCGCTATAAAACATTTCGCTTTACAATAAGTAGAACATTAAAATAAATGGTTTTTTCATTGTCAACGTGTTGCTGAAGAAAACTGTGCCTTCCGAAACGCGATGAGACCTAGAAAGTTCTCTGCGAGATTCATTCCTAGAATCTTTTGTTCATAGCCACGTGCTGAACGTCATCAAATTTAAATTTTACTAAATTAACTCCTGATCCATCACAACGAGCTCGATCCATCTTCGAGGCACAATAGACAACGTCAGCATTGCCGTGGTATGCTATAGAATGATTGCTGCTATCAACAGATATTTCCTCTGTATTGCACTGATAAATCTAGGTGCAATTCCGCTTTGGTAATTCTCGCCAATTTCTTTGTTGTATTCCTCCGTACCGATGGCACAGAATCTTGGTAGTCTCTGTTAAACATTGCTGACGATCAACAGGTACAAAAAATAACATTCCTTAAAAGAGAAAACTCTTTGAATCGCCTCTATTCCTTTAATCCCCATATATCTCTATCCCTGAGATTAACAGCTTTCTTCAAAAAAAATATGTCTATATGATAGTGACACGGAACAATCGGGATTGTAGCGAATTGCTTAGAATTTCAAACGTCACTTCAATATTATAAGTCATATATCTGTGACGGTGCTCTTATTTTTCTTGCGTCGCGACCCTTTAACATATAAACGGTCAATGGTGATAAAATCTAAAAGTGCACCACCTTCTCCCGTGCGTTTTAATGCAGTTGCCGAAGATAGAAAATGACACGACCAATCAAAAGTGGTTTCAGCCGTTGAAGCTGATTCGCCCACGGCACCCAACTAGGAAGGCAGTATCTGCGCCTAATATTTGTTTGTCTGACTGTCCACGAACAGGAAGGAACCAACTACAGATAAAGTCTAGTCAACCAAATTTGCATGACTAGAAAGAAAGCGTTAAATCGTGACTCATCAACCCCTTAACAGTGAGGAAAATTATAAAACTTGTCAAATCTGCGCACAGATGTATTGGGCGATAGAGTTTATTTTTTCATTATGCTTCCACAGTAAACCGATCCGATATGTAACCGCAATGAATTATCACATAACATATTTGATTATGAAAGTACATGGTTGTAACTCCTTATTAGTGAGTCCACCAATATTTCGCTGTACAACGAAAGGGTATACAACAGTTACATGAGTTCCACTGGCTTCTGTTCTGAACAGAAGTCTATATCGTGAACAAACATTTTAGTTCCCATGCCTTGCTTATCAAGTTTTTAACCTCTGCCTCCTCAATTCCTTGTACAGAGAATCCGTGACAACAACTGGCTGTGCAAGCGAATACGTGACTGTCGTTCAATTTACCTGCACATCATAATTGAGAACTGTAACCCTGAAAGCGATGACTGCGGCGCCAGAGTTGAGCAGGGTTTGATGCTGCCCTCTGCCAATCCTCTTCCAGAATTTTACTTTAGGCATGTTCAGTAGCACACAAGTATGGGGTAGTGAAAAGATGTATGTTTGTGCGGGCCAGCTAATTGATCCCTGTTATGTGCACTTAGAAATTAGTAAGAGCAGTACCAAAAGAAGAACATAGTCAGGTTTACTGCCATGGCACACAGCAGCTGCCTGATTTTCAGCAGTTGTAATAAACAGTACTGACTATGTGTAAAAAGGTGAGAGCAGCGATATGCTAATAAGCTGAACCAAAGCTGGTTTTCGTATCAACTTTTGACTATTTATTGAGATTTGGATAAGGTGAGGCCAACTGAGCGCCCTAAAGAACATAGTCGAGACATAAGAGAGGTCTATTTTTGCCTGTGCCGTCTTCACCTGTGACTTTCAGCTTGTCAAAACGCAATGTATTTGGAGTGAATGATAAATGAGCACTGACTACAAAAGCCACATTTCATTTCGAGATGAAATCTGATATCCTGAAGGACAATCTGGCACACTGATAAAGCCATCATTTGAAATGGTCTCAATAAATACGCTTGACAAGAACATCATCACTACAGCCCAAAGCAGCATTAACAGTAAACCTATTACTGATCATCATGATATGCCTACGTCAATAAGCTGTTTTAAAATGCATCTGAAATTTTGGCGGACACAGCAATAAGCACATATTCACCAAGCCCTTACAACAGACAGATCAGTTGTGTTTCAGAGTACAGTCGTCCTGATGGAACATCAATCATTGTTAAACAGTGTGAATTAGCGTTGCGTTAATGCTTCATGCAGCTGGAATGCCAGAAGGCCGATGGTTCGCATTTTCTCAAGAGTGCGCATGATTCAGAAGAAAGCAACAAAACGAAATAAAGAGGCTGGTATTGCCTGATGAATTTTTTCTTATCAGTTATTACGTCTGCAATGTAAGATATTCAGCGAGGTACAAAGAAGGAAACGCACCCACAGCCCATGCTGAATAATCCATGTTGAGACTTTTTCAACATTCTGCAGTAATTACACGCTATACATAGTCTTTGCCGTCAATTAGGACAAACCTAAGTAGCTTTAAGTCAAAGTGCCTTGTTTCGACTGACCGACCTGTCACTGGTTTCAATTACTTGTCTTGCTTTCTCACAATGCAGCCATGCGTTCAATTTTCGGCCATGTCCAACTTTCTGGTTCCCATGAGAGAATTTCATAACGTATTCCGAATCTTCTCTCAGATTAATTGATGTCTTCTTTCCCGTTTGTCAGTTCGGCACTTCCTCTTAATTTGTTGATTTTCCACATTAAGCGGTTGTAGAATGACGAATGAGAAGTGATGAAATGTTTCAACTGTCGGTTAATTAGGGCGCAATTAATGTCAGTCTTGGCACTTGATTGTGATTTATTTGTTAATTTTGTCAGCTTGATGACGCAGCCCTCTATTCCGAATACCGGTACCACTTTTCATGTCGAGGACCCTTGCGAATTTTGCCTCAAACCCTATCCAATTGACAAATTTAAAGTTCTGGTCGATTTGCTTACTGTGACCTTCAGTGTTCACGTGTCTCTGAATGCGAGGGTTTTAAGAGTCGTCTCAAAAGTCGCCTTGATAAGCATTTCTGTGAAAAGACTCTGCGAACAAAGACGTATTCGATATTGAACGTTGCGCCCTAATAACTGATCAACAAAGACTCACCTGGTTGACCATAACTTCCGCCCGACAGTGATATTTTGTTCAAAATACTGCCTTATTGTTCAAATAGCCTAGTTTCATAGCAGAGCTAGGAACCAGTGGGCGGCTTCAGAACGCACGGTCGACTCATCGCATGATGCGTCAGTCGTAAAACGAGGTCAGAATTGCCGACTGAATAAATGTTTGCACCCATGCCATATTTTCTACCGGTTTTCATGACTCATTTATTTATGAACATTGAGGAGAAAAGGAAACAAACAGAAGCCTTGAAAACGTCGTCGTCGCCAAACATTTATTGCTCGATAGAGGGAAGCGCAACGCAGCCAGTGAGTCATTCAGCATGAACGAACCATGAATCGAAACTCAGCGTTTCGTGCTGTCAATAACGCCCTCTTTACGCGGTCCACCAATTTCTATACTTACAGTATGAAAATCTTTACAGTACTGGCACTGGTAGAAGAACTCGTACGGTGCAACAATGCGGCTTCAGCACTTTCATTGAGAGACGGCAATTGCTATTCTCAACCAATAATACCTCCCTGTTGAAATGAATGGTATGAACTGCTCTGAGATTCTATTTAAGTCAGTCATTTCAATTATCGTCATCATCAGCATCATCATCATCATCATCCATCACCGCTACTCCTTTCGGGTCGCGGAGG